GAAAGCTAAACTACACAAGCAAGCTATACAAGTGAATGACTGAAAATTGCTATTTTGATTATATTTGTACTTTCACATACATGCATTTAAAAAAAAAATTCACATAAGGCGTATAGATATGTGGTAGAAGTGGATACCCAAATACATGTATACATGTAATTTTGTGTATCATGCTGCTAACTAAGTAACACGTACAAAATAAAGAAGTACATACACACCAGAAATGCTTGTGTCTATATCAGGCACACCTGAAGAATGCAAAGAATGCTTGTACAAATCTCATACGTTCTCAGAGCCTATAATTTTTTTTTCTCCAGAAATGACCTTGACTCCCAGGTTGCCCAGCCTTGAGTGAGCACCATGTTCAGTACTGGGAAATAAAGGTGGCCGGTGTGGTGCTGATGACATCACCCACCAAATGCTGACTGGTATATAAAATATAGGTCTAGCCCTATGTGCCAATTACACATGAAGGCGTGGGAATGGGCCCTTTTACTTGTATGAATCTTCTTCATGGGATGTGACTTTAAAACAGCAAATACTGAATGAGGGCTTTGTAGAAAATTCTAGAGACAGTTTATGTTATAAGGGTCGAGACACATTGCCTAGCAACATTGTTTTCCTGGCAATTATTTTAGGCGTTGCTAGCCATTCAAATACTACACAATTCCAAAAAAACAAAAATGATTTTCAAGAATGAAACATCAGTGCTTAGGCAAAATAACAATGGGTAACAAACTGTTAAAAATGCATAATTCATTGTTGTAAACTTGACTAGTAACAAAAGAATTTCAAGGGGTCAAAATACACTAGGGTCAACATTACAGATACAACATCTTGCCAGGTTGTATACCCTGTGACAATTAACAAAAACAAAAAACTATTTAAAGAAAATAACATATGGAAATGAGTCAGATTGGTCCACTGTCATTTCAGCTAATTCAAAGAAAACACTGGAGTAACCAAAAATATAACAATATCATAAGTAATTTTAGTAAATTAATTTTCTCAACATTGTTTTAGACTATCAAGACAAGTTGAAACAGCAATACTAGATCAAAAAACTGAATAATGTGAAATTATTTTTACTCTATAATCATCATTACATCCTATGGATAACTTTAAACTATGAATTGTATTTTAATTTTTGTTGTTAACAAATAGTTTTCTTTAAAAAGATGCTGCCATATGAAGATATATAAAATAAATGTATAAATTGGCAGAAATTTGCATACATTTAAAAAATGGGAAGGAAATGTTTGTTTATTTAGAGCAGTGTCCTAACAGTTAATACTGACTCAAAAAATGGTTATCAAAAGTTGGTCTGGGTAATTACGACAAATTCATGGATGACTTACAAATTGTGCAAAATGTGGAATATTTTGTTTTCAGAAAAACCAATGCATTTACTGACGTTTTTTTTTTTACAAGTGATATTATACAAGTTTTATTTACATAGCATAGTACAAATCATTATATTAATGTCAACTAAAGTTCTACACATATATTTTAAACGATCGGCGCCGTTTGGCGTTGAAAAATCACAATTTTCCGCTTTAAAACATGTACCCAGCCAAGGGAGTCTTCTCTTTCAAACTTTGGGGTGGACTCTGGGAGTTGTGCTTTGGTTATTTGTGTGTGCGTATGATAGAAAATACTGGTTAAACAAAGGCAAATTCCCCCCCCCCCCCCCAGTAATAAATATAAACGATAGGATTATTATGTTAGAAGCTATTTTCTGGAATTTATTCTTACTACTACTTATCCGGTTTAATAGACAAACTATCAGTATGTCGTTCGTCAAAGCGCTAGCATATTATATCTACTTCTTACAGTCGCTGGTGTTTAACTTCTAGGAGCTCCATGCTGATATATTCACGAACCAGAAATTAAATTTTTCTAGATCAGATTTGTAGGCCTGGGATTTGTAGGTCGTGTGTATAAACCTGACTTCACGACTAGTGGATGATGAACTCCTTGTGGTCAAGGTTCACGCCCTGGGGTAGGCAGCTCTAAGAGCACTAGTCTATCAGGCCTTTGCCTTGTGCCCCCATAGAAATTCCGCTTAAATTGTTGATCAGGTCGTGTGTATAAATGAACGAAAAGGCCGTGTCTCAAGTTGCAAAATTGAGTTAAGGCGCCGTTATTGGAGTGCGAAAATGTCAAACCAATAACTAGGTCACAGTATTATGTTGCGAATTAACCACCTCCGACCGTATCCTCTATGGTCAGTCGTGGCAACCAGTCAGACCTGTACCAATCCTGTAACTAAAAACGGCTGCGCATTTCAGTCTTGGGTCTTTTATGAAGAGCGGTAAAAACACTAGTATAATTATAGCTCCTTCTTCGTCGCGTTTACCCGTGCAAACTTTCTGTTGTTCGTCCACTTCTTGTTCCAGAACTTGAGTGATGTTTGCACATACGTTTTACAGAACTGACATATCTGGAGGCAGACCGATGGTTCCATGCCTCTCTCGCAGATGCTTTCCCACATTGAAGGAAATCCCCTAATAAGTCTACCTTACGACATGCCTCTTGTGATTGGAAGCGGGCTTTTCCATTTTCTCCACAATGGGACCCCGGAATTCACAAGGGATATAAATACAGCATTTACTGTGAGTGTGCATGTGTTTCTTGCGGTAACTGATAATTGTACAACTACACTGGCAGTTATACAATTTAAATCCTCGACATTGAAATGCCACATCCTTGAGCCTTCGCGGTCGCCGAGTTTAAACAGTAAAGTCTTTGAGCGGTTGTGTACATATCTGCTTTTGCCATTGGCGTTGACCAAGGCAACACTGCCTTTACTTGTTATTCAGTAATTAAATTGCCAGTTGAACTGTCGTAACAGTTGTAAATTAAACTAACGGTCAACTATGAACTATTACGGCTTGAAAAGAGACGTTTGCCCAGCCGAACAATATCACATCACTAACACCTTGAGGGAAACTCCGTTTTATAATGGGCCCTGTTTTGAATTCCCGTCAGAACTTTGAGTGTGTTGCTTAAGATTGAAACGAAGACGTCCGTGCGGCTTAGTACAAGTTTAAACACGAATGCATATTATATATCGGCACAAACAGATGCAAAACATGAATATTACGAATTTAAAATTAGCAATGATACAAAATGTGGAATAAATTATGCACAAGGTTTAACTTAAAAAACTAGATGGTATCATTCTACAGAATCACATACAGGCAGAATGCTACTGCATTTGCGAGAGAGTTCAAATACAGAGGCAACGAGGAAAGGTTGTATACAGACAGATAGGTAGACAAACGCATAGAATAGGTGGACGAACACACTGATAGACAGGCAAACAGGCAGCCTTATAGAATGACAGACATGTTCATAGACTTAACAGACGAGCGGGTGTAAGGACAAGTTCATCGACGGACAGATAGACAGACAGTGTTGCGAAAACAGTATACTAACACGCAGATATATAGGCAGACACAGACAATCAGATAGACTGTATGGTGATTCCAATCAACTCTTATCTCATCACGAAAATATACTAGACTCCGTAGATACAGACTCAGTAATTCACTATACAGGTTGAGAATTGTATGCAGAGTTTTCACAAAGTTTTCACAGCATTAACACCAGATCTCTTCACTCACAGCGCATTCCTGGCTTCACAGCTTTCAGTGTTCTTATTAACATTTAGTCAACGTTTGTGCAAATCGGTGAACTATTCAGCAAAGAAACATTCCACCATTGCTGAAAAAAAAAAAACTAACGAAGACTTTCACATTTGTCTTATGTCAGTTCCTTCATCCAAAGGCAACAGAATCTTCACAGAGTAAGTTGAAATCCTCCTCCTCCCTAAAACAAGTCTGCACGCTGTCAGCCACTGAAGTCTAGAAAATGTTCATTAAAGTCAATCAGACGGTGGCAACTACCACTGATGTTCATATTTGAATTGCGTATAGTTTTCATAATACAACAGTTGGCATGCAAATGACGGTAAACCTGGTATTCATTTTTAACTTCTGATGAATGAAATGCGACAGTTCTGTAAAAAAAATGATTATCCAGAAGTTTTTCCTTTCACCTACTCATCATAGTGACACGTTCATCAATGTTTCATTAACTATAAAATCCATTTCGTCACAAAAAGTTCGTTGAAATATAAAATGTTCAAATTGAAACATCGGAGGGAAGCGAAAAAATTGTTAAGTCAGGAATGTGGTCACTGCAGACTTAAAACGAGAAGAATATAAAAGTATTACACATAGCAGTGTTACATTTGTAAATTACGGCAATGATTTGTAAAAAAAAAAATGATATCGTGGAGTAACTAAATACTTTACGAGATTGATTCGCAATTAACCACGCAGTGAAGATTAGCGACATAAATTCTTGGCGAGATGAAAATGTTTGGTAATTATGTGAATATTTGATGGGCGAAATACAAGTCTTGCTGCCTTCTGATGTGAACACGGTTGGTGGTTGTTAATATAGGCTGTGTGATACGCTTCATCACACTTGGGAGGATGGTTACAAGGGTACGTTGTTAAAGGGATAGGTGTCTGGTACAGTCAGTTTCACTTCTAAGGAGAGACCACACACTGAGATTACAAGTTTGATACTCCTGTGTGGACCGTGTGTGCAGATTCCTTTTTTTCCCTACCGCGGGTACAAAACTAGGTCAGCAGAAGTGGCTGATAAAACATGAAACAGAAGGATTTTCACAAGGCGTCCTGGGTAACAAAGGTGAAGCAAAGGCCAAGCTTTGGTATGCATTTGTTGGCCAGAAGGCTTCGACTGGGCTATTTGAACTTGAGCGTCTGTTTAATATAACAATGTCATGGTCACCTTCTTTAGCTCTCGCACAAGCTCCAGTACTGAGCTCTCCACCATGAGACAATACGAGACATCCAGAATAGAGTTAATAACAAAGCTGTGCCGAGGGCAGGGGAAACATGAGTTTCTTCAACAAAACAACATAACAGATCACAAACCAAGTTCTCTTCACATACACATTAAAGTTAAACGGTAGCTGGCCCTTCAGGGAGCGTTGTTACACAGGGTAAAAGGTCAGCAGAGAACCCGATGTCGCTGTCAAGATATTTCATGAAGTCATCGAGAAGTTCTTCGTTGTTAAAACTGGACGTGCAGTCACTGTCCAGGACCGAATCAACAACATCTGCCGACAGGATTGGCATGCTGCCCTCCACAAGAACAGAGGGGCATATCTGTTCGGGTTCCGACTTGATGAAACCATGTGTGGAATACAGACTGGCATACTCTAACGGTTCGGTTTTGATGCTTAAGTTGAAGTTCCATATTGGCTCGGATTTGATATTTGATTGCAAATCAGGTTCAATTTTGATCAAATTCCATTGAAGAGTCGGTTCTGACTCCTTAATCGGCAAAGCGGATTCAATCTTAACCCGGGTTTCCGGAATTCCTTCGCCGTGACTAGCGTTGTCTGCTTCAAGTGGGTATAACAAGGATGAATTATCGAATTCGAAACAGCGGTCGCTTCGGATAAGACCATCACGGTCGTGACCGAGTGACTGATCAGTTGGTGTGCCTGGAGTAATCGGCTTATTTGGAGAATTCTCTGGAGTGTCAAACACAGAAGTAGGTTTACTGTCAATTATCAGCTGAACAGTTGACGGTGTGTTCTGGAACCGTTGTGTGTTCACAAGAGAATGTTTGGCCAGTTCGCGTTGATGGAGAGCTGTCAGGTCTGCCAAGTCTATGGCGGTGACCCTTTTCCCGATCCCTTTTTTCAGAACCGGGTCAATTTTCACCTGCATTTTTACTATAAGTCTTTCTTTTAGCAACGGGTCTAAGTTCTGGCGGGCGTCGGCGATGTTGATACCTCGAAGTGGTAGTGGCTGGTTGTTATTGTTTTCATTTCTCTTTCTTTTCAGGCACTTGGGCTGCTTAGGTTCAGAAACGGGTTTCTCTTCTGTCCTCTTAGCTTTCTTCTTGGGCTTGTATTTATAGTCAGGGAACTCGAACTTGTGGAAGGTTCCCAGAGTGTCTTTCTCGCGCTCGTAGATGGCTTTCTCCTGGTCGTCAAACCTCCTCCAGGCGGCACCAAGCTTTGTGCTGATAATAGCGTTATGCAACTGTGGAGTTATTTGTGCGATCAGAGCCCGACACTTCATGGACCAGATCATAAAGGCATTCATTGGTCTTTTGGGGCAAGAATGGCCGTCAGAGTCTTTCTTCTTCTCCTTTTTACAGTTGGCAACCACCGTGTAACCCCTGTGGAGTTCGTGAGGCTGGACATAGTTCCATCTATGATTGACGTGAACTTTGGAGACAATCTCAATCAACATGTCCACTTTCTTTTCTGGACTTTCTATTGAATCAATGTTCAGCAGATCTTCTTTGGTGTACAGTCTGCAAGGACTCATCTGTAACAGTTTTTCTATTCTCTCTTCTATTGTCCACGAGTTATCTACCGGAAACATGTCAAAGGGCGCAAATCTTTCATTGACAAGTCTTCTGTCAGCCTCAATGTCTGCGTCATCTTCTTTCTGAGGTGTGCTGGCGACTGAGTCACTCACCTCATCGGTGACTGACGCCACAGATGAAACAGAACCGGTGTCATGGAAAGTCAGTTCCATTTCTGACTCATTATACGTCTCAATTGAGTCAGGGCTGTGCATATTCATTGGAATATCAATCGGGTCATCCAAAATCTTCGGCCGTGAGTAAGGGTCGAAATCCATGACCCCGGGATAAATTGCGGAGGATATTAGAGGATCGGAATCATGGTAGTAATCCATTCTGAACATAGACACCTCTGCGTTCCTCATAAGATGCTGCAAAAACTGTAATCAGGAATGTAAAATTGGGCACATACCTAGCTCCGAGTTCACTTATAAAGACAAAACATTGCACACACCGCTTTTCAACAGACTTCGTTGATGATAGATCCCAGAGTTGAATGAAAAAGTCCACACATTACAAATTTTCACAATAATTCAGCATCTATAAAGTATTCGAAATCCAGTTCACAAACTCTCACACGAAAAACATTTGCAGAAGAATTTTGGCAACGAAGGAAAATGTTGATCTTTGAAAAACGTACGTGATGTGAACTCGCCATGTGCCGGTTTTCTTTTATACCCGCGTTGGGGCGCACGCTCAGGGGGCGGGCGGAGCTAGTTACAAGCGCTTTGATTGGTTCAGCCCGTTGTAAACATTAGGGCATCAGAACGCGAGGCTCTGCACGGGATTCAGCTGAAATTAGAGCCACATGCAAGTTTTTGATGAAATAAGGTCTAGGATAATAAATTATATACTGGGTCGCAGAGGCACAGCCTTTGATTATTTACGAGAAAAGGATAAGTCGATCAATAAAATACTTGAAAAAAATTAATACATAAATGAGAATAGTTAGCATGTATGACTTATAGAGCCTTTTCTGCCTGGTGTGTATGTGTGAGGGGCGCGAATGAGGGCGGAAGGGGGGGGGGGGGGTTAAAATCTAATTTAAAACTACAACTGTTTATAAACAAAATGTTTAATATTTTATAAAGACAAATGCAATTAACGGATTATGTTTGTCTGTGTGGTTTAGTTTAGCTAATAATTGCTTATCTTTCTTCTTCTTCTTCTTCTTCTTCTTCTTCTTCTTCTTCTTCTTCTTCTTCTTCTTCTTCTTCTAATTCTGTGTCTTCTTCTTTTTTCGTTCGCACATAAAAGCGCGGCTGGCATAATGTGTTGTGGTTTACAGCTTGGCTGCTGTATCTGCCCCTTAAAACCCAACACATCTGATTTCAGTAAATACCAAATTTGTCGCCTCTTACGACGTGCTTTTTTTAGTGGCAGTAGGTCTATTCCTTCCCAAAAAGGGCCCCGGAACTTAAACTGTGAAATGAACTGTCTTTACATCTGCCTGTCTGTGTGTCACTCTGTTTTTCTATCCTGTTTAATATGTCTGTCTGTCTACTCATCGATTAATTGGCCTACTAGGTATCCCACCACGAAGTAAACGTTGGTTGGGGGAGGTGGCTTGTAACTTTCTAGGGGCTTTCATTTTGCTTAAACCTAGTTTAAATGTGCAGTAATAGTAAGGATATTATTATTATTTATTGTGGGCTGAGAACCAAAGTAAAATATTTATTTGAAATAGTATGAAATATATAAAAAAAAATGCTTTAGATTTAAAAAGCACGTTTACACGTGGTTAGTGAGAGCCTTTGCTCCTTAAAAATTATGGGGAAGTGGGAAGCTCAAGATGCCTGAGCGACAATTTCCTGCCTTCTTACCTGTCTGTTTGTCCGAGTTTATCTGTCTGTTTGTCTGTCTATTCTGCGATACATTTAGTGGGCAGTTTGGTAAGGGGCTGGGTGGAGGGACGGGGAGGGGTAAGTAGGGATGTTTCAGTCGAATTCGAAGTACATTTGCATCTGAGGCGAGAAACCAATAGTCTGCATACGAATAATTCAGATCTGTAAAACGATTGTGCACGCAGGGTTCTGTGATACGGCGAAAGCCCAAAAGTGGACGAACAACCAGAACCTTCCTCTAGAGTTACAGTGGGTGAAGGCGAAGCAGAAGAAGAAGAAGAAGAAGAAGAAGAAGAAGAAGAAGAAGAAGAAGAAGAAGAAGAAGAAGAAGAAGAAGAAGAAGAAGAAGAAGAAGAAGAAGAAGAAGAAGTAGAAGAAGAAGAAGAAGAAGAAAAGGTTAGAGTATCAATGGTGTAGGACTGACAGACTTAAGGAGGTTGCATAACACAAACCCAGTTCAATCCTTTACCTGGCTACGAAATCCGCTCTCCATTCTCCCATTCACAGATTTTGCTGCTCTCTATCTCGCGGCTGCCTCAAATACTCTGGTTGTAACCTGACCTAGTATTTTATGTTTTGCCTCGTGTCCCTGCCCTAGAGCTAGTTCTGATGAGGTTTGACAGCCGTGGCTTGCATAGGTTTTATATCAGTGTCGCTGTTTACATGCAAGGTAAAGTTAATATCGGTTAGGTTAACGTTAATCTCCCCAAATAGAGTAGGTCACTTCTCATTCATAAGTTTGTTAGGCTGGTCGACTTTTTTTAAGGTTACGGGTGTGTCCCGCTTTGTTGTTTGCTTTCTGTCTTGTCTTGCATTTACGTTTTCATTCCGATAAAGAGAATTTATGTGACATAGGTTGCAGCACTTTTTATAGGGGTTGTGTTAGGACCAGTTTGTCCATGTTTTTGAAAGTGTTAAAAGCCCTGGCGTGCTGAAATATACAACAAGCGATATCAACGGCATTGCGGAACATCCCCGTACTCTTGTGTTAAGGTGACAGGTTAAGGAACTACCAATCAGAAGTGAGCTAGTGTCGATAATGTCATACCGGAGCTGATTAATACAAGGGTATTAACTTATTGTGGTAAAATACCGTGTTTCCCCGAATATAAGACCAGGTCTTACATAACTTTTAGTCTCCAAAATACACTATGGCCTTTTCAGAGGGCTGTCTTTATTTTATTTTTTTAAATATATTTTTAAAAATCTACATTTTTTTTTAAAATACAGCCATGTCATCTTCTTCTGGAAGAATTCCGATCTGAATCTCTTACGACTCCGATTTCTTATATCCAGCAATAAAGCTTTCCTTTAATTATTAAACGTGTACCAGTGGCCCCCATGCTACGACTAGCCATACGGCAACAAGTCTCAATGTAGCTGACAATCTTAACTAGGGCTTATCTGACCCGCGGTCCGGAAGGTAGGTCTTATTCATATATTAAAAGGCATTCTAAACATTCGTTATTTTGAGGGAAGGTGTGTTAATTTTTGGTTCAAGTAACAATTCCCGGCCCATATACACAGTGACTGGCAGTTCATTAATGCGTGCTAACCTTTTACACGCGTGACTCTCTGTTACAAGGGGTGTCAGTTTGTGTTCAGACAATGGCCCGCGTAAACGGTCAGCAAGCATGAGTGAACGGCCAATCACCGTGTGTATGGGCCGGGAATCGTGAGTTGTACCTAATTTTCTATCATATGTACTATCTTATCCCTGACAGTAGGACGACGAATTACATGACTGATAACATCACGTATAATATAACATGTCTGGACACTTTTAAACCCTAATGCAGTATCTGCTATGGAAGTTGTTTTACCTTTACAAGTTACAATTTACCTTTGCAGTTCACCTTTGAAATTTACAACTTACCTTTGTAATTTACATTTGCAGTTTTCCTAAGAAACAGTTTGGGGTTCGCCGAGCACGATATAAGTGATGAGTCGACATCGAAAGATGGACGAACAACATCCCTGTGTGTGTTCCGAGTCGTTATTGTAGAGAAAACAAAACTCAATGCCTACCCAGAACATGACGTAAGAGGCGACTAATTGAGAGCTTTCTTAGAAGTCCAAGTGCACCTGCCTGAGAGGCAAAGAACAACCAGGGGCACGAAAATGAGTCATATTTGTAAAACGGATGCACACGCAACACTTAGATTCTGGGAAAAGACTAAAAGTCCAGAAGTGGACGAAAAACCAGAACCTCCCGCCGGGGTTTACAGCCGGTGAAGGTGAAGAGAAGGAAGAAAAACGAACAACAGCCCATGCCAGCAGATCTGCAGCCACTAACTACTCAACTTACACAGCACCAACCTTCATTGTGGAATCGGCGCAGTACAGCACTATGTAAGTGACAGGCAGTTAGTCATACAATATTGTATCTACCCGTGTGGGTTCCGGGGCCCCATTGGGGGGAAAACAAGAATAGACCCACTGCCTCCCCAAAAGCATGTCGTAAAAGTCGACTAATTGGGGAGCTTCCTTTGAAGTCGGAGTGCATCTGCCTGAGAGGCAAGGAACCAACAGTCTGCACTCAAGTGAATCAGATCTGTCAAACTGATGCACACGCAACACTCAGGTTCTGGAGCAGGACTGCAGTCCAGAAGTGGACGAACAACCAGAACTTTCCACCAGAGTGTACAGCTGGTGAAGAACGCAAAGAAGAAGAAAGAAGAAGAATATTGTATCGTGTTTTGTTTTTTAGATTATAGATTAAATTTCACACTTTTTGATCGCAACCTGAAAATGTGATACCTGGCAAGCCAGAGAGTCACAAAGCGAATGCGAATCCAGCAGAGGGGTAACCCAGAAACCCCGTTGCACCGTTGAACAGTGTTTTGGGTCACTCTACGGTTGACCTTCCGGTCAAGATGGCGAATCTAACATCGTCCCTTTTTGATATGTTACAATTTCATGGGGATTTTGTTAAAAGTGTTTAAAAGGTGTTCAGACGGTGTTAAATATTTGTTTAAAAGGTGTTCAGACTGTGTTAAATATTTGTTTGAAAAGGTGTTTTGAAACGTGAATACAGTTGAGATACAGTGATCGCGAGAAGATGTTTACAAATGAATCTTGGAGAAGACCGACAGACCAGTAGAAAATGTAAGTTCTAACCAGGGCTGGTCAACTGGAGGCCAAGCAAGTTGCCCGTGGACCACTGCCTGCTGTTTTGTATCAATAAAGTATGGGGTTGCCTAGTTGACCATGTTCTTAGGGCACTTGTTTCCATAGCTAGGCGCACACGCCGTCTGGAGGTGACAGGTTCGATTTTCTTCACGGTAACTATAGTTTTCGATTTTTATGTTGTCCAATGTGTTCTTCTATCTATCTACTTCTTTCTATGAGTGCCGATCAATACATTTTCTGTTATTTTATTAATATATATATTTAACGGTCTCAAGGCTTCCCCCTCTGTTTAGTTATGTTGTTTTGTATTCACGATCTTTGTTTGCTTGGAGTGAAGCCACTGGAGTGTGACGATCCCT